CGGGTCACGTCACGTCACATGACTCCATTGACAAGTCGGGCGCGCGTGCAGGAGGAGGTTCCGGGCCGCGTGGGCCGCGTGTTGGCGCTGATGGACGAGGATTCCGACTCAGCCCTGCGTGTGGACCCGCCCGCTCAGGTGACGCATCGTTTGCCGGCTCGCGGTCAGCCGGCTACTAATTGCGTGGCTTCGGGTGTGCGTGTGGGTGTGTTGGTTTTAGTCGAGGTGCTCTTTTGCGTCTGATTGTTCCGCGGCCGTTTTGAGGCGAGGCTTCACTTTGGAGTGCGTCTCGGGCAGGGGAAGGGAACCGCGCTTCCCGGAGAGCCGCCCCCCCTGCCCCTTTTCCGTCCCTCCCTGCGCCAACGCGGCCGACGGGCGAGCTCTGCCGAGGCCCGAAACGATCCCGAACGACTGACTCGAGCGTGCCGGAGTCGGGAGGGAAACGGGCAGGAGCGTGGCTCTCCGGGAACCCAAGCGGGTCTTTGGGCTGCGTGTTTTGATGGCGTGCACTTTTGTGCGCAGGTGGAGGTCGTGACCTCGCTCGAGTGCCTCGCTCGGCACGTGGATGCCCATCAGCTTCCGCCAGAGTTGGGCGGTTCTTACCGCTTCAGTCACGGCGACTGGTTGGCCTTCCGATCGGTGAGTACGCGGCGGCCGGAAAAGGAGCGCGCTCTCCCGAGCCGCACTTGAGCGCGGTGAGCCGCGGCATCCCCCGTTGACGTTGCCGCCACCGGCGACGATTGACGTGATTTGCGTCTGAATCAGAAAAACTTGAGTGGAGATGGTTTTTTGTTTTGTTTTTTTTTTTTGGGGGGGGGGGGGCGTGTCAGAGAGTGGAGCAGCTGGGCAGGCAGTGTGAAGATGTCATCGAGCTGCTGCGGAAGAACATTGCCATCATGGAGGACACGCGCCTCCCTGACACGCAACAGGTACGCGCGCGCGGGCGCCCGCACGCGCATCCGAGCGCGGGCGCCAACCACGTGCCGCCTTCCCCAGGAGGCCGAGCGGCAGCTGTCCGTCTATCGGGAGTTGATGGGCGAGGTCCTGGCAGACGGCCGCCTGGCGCGCCTGCAGCGGGAGGGCGTCGCCTCGCTGTCGCTGCTGCTGCGGGAGCGCGGCGGCCCGTCGGAGGAGCGGCGCGCGGCG